GTCCCCATTAGAGGCAATCAGAACTAACGGTGGAAGTAAGGTTGGAGGTAACCTAAAAGAGAAACCTCATTCTCTTTTCATGGACTGGGACTTGAATGGATGTAGGCTGGTTCTGCTACTGCCATCTTGTCACAATGAGGAGACAGCCTTTCAGAAACTGGAGCCAAAACAGGAAGCAAAGCCAAGAAGTGGGAAAAGAGAAACTGTGTCTGATTTCATTGATTAAACTGCTAAATACAATCAAATCTAATGACGGGAATACCTTTGAACTTTGTAGTTATGTGAGACAATAAATTCTCTTTTGCTTCAAGCAGTTAGGATTCTGTGGTTGCTGTCATTTGCAACAAAAAAGGATAATAATTTAGTCATAAAAAATCGATGGCTCGTATTTGACAGAACTAATCATTGCTTTTTTCAAAAATGCACTATTCCTCTGTCTTTACCCATTTTTTTCTTATCCTTCCTTTAATCCCATCCAGGTCCTCTTTATGTATAGCATCAAATTGTAGAATTTTAGGATCAGAATGGATAAGGGGCAAAGAAACTAATACATATTAAGATCCTTGAGGAAGGCACATTTCATATGCATAAAAGCCTGTTGAAAGTATGGACACACTCTTTGGAATTATGTTTGGAACACCACACTAATGATTAAACTGCTATAAAAGAGATGTTATATGAAGAGAAAATAGTTGTAAATTTGGACTGCATGCTATCATTTCCATTCTGAATGTAAACAATAGAATATTAATGAGACACAGAATGAAGGTTTTCATAGTGATAATGCCTCCAATGGTAGTTTGAAAAAAAAAAAAGGAAGAACTGTCATTGCATTTTGATACTAGCACACTTTCTAGAAAGCAATTAAATTGCCTTGCCACCTCAGTTTTTAGAAAGCAAAAGGTTGGAAAATGCAATAAAAATGAACATGATTTCCAAAGAGAACTGAAAGTCATTGGACTATAAGATATTTGAAATCATATCAAAAAGCAGAATTTATAGCCTTATGAGTTATGAAAAAGGAAATTGAATCGTGTGTTTTATTTTTAAAACACAACGACTAAAAAGGTGTTTCCATAGTAACAAGGTCAACACCAGTAGCCATTACAGACCTTCCTCTTTGCTGATAGTGGGTTTAAAGATCTTTTCCAAATACCATTTTAAAAGCCCTATGAAAAAGTACAGCTTTTCTGATCATTCCTCTGAACCAAAAATGAGGAAAAACACACATGGAGTATTGAGTTTCTCATGTTTTATGGATTATAAGCATTTATGGTTGTCATATTTTCAGAAAGAAGCCTGCCTGACTAGCTATTATGCCAGCCCTCGAACATGGGATTTGATTAGCCTGATTATAAATCTGGACAAACAGAAGTTGTTTGCAGTAGTATTCAAACAGAAATAAAAGGCAGCACAATATTAGAAAAAAATACTTTTTTAACATCTAAATATTGAAAGAGTTAAGTAAATAATCCCTGTTATTAGAAAAATTGCAAAGGCTCAGATGAAGCATGATATCACCACTAGAGGAAGGTTAGAAAGATACAGACCACATTTTGTTTACAACAGAAATAAATAGCTCTTTGGCCATAAAATCAATTCATTTAGCGCCACCAGGAAATGGCCTCTCCTTCCTCTTTCCTTTGTATCAAGATACACTTGCCCATATGACAGTCATTTGTGCTGCCTTATCTTCCCCAATAACTTCGAGTCCCTTGAGAGTAGAGATATTTTTCTCTTTGTATTCACAATAGTATCTCACATACGTTTTGCATTTAAAGAGTAACTAAAAAATAAGTAGAGAATGAATTGTGAAAAATAATGGCACAACAGTGCCTAAAATAACACAAAATCTATGGTGTATTTTTAGAAATGATACGTCAGTAAAAACGTATACTCGTGATTTAAATCTCTTTAAACCAAGAGGCTCTAGATCCTTGTTCACGGACTCAAAACTGTTAAATAATTAATTGTTTCCTAGACCAATTCCCTCAGAGTCTCTGCAGCTGGGGTCCTGGCATCAGTATTTTTGACAGCTACTCGGGTAAACCTAAAGCGATGCTAGAGTTGAAAATCATTGCTTTAAACTGTCTGCTGGGGCTCAATTAATGATTAATTTATTTGCCTCCAACTTTTAGCTGCTTGGTTTTTTTTCCTCAATATTGCCTCATAGTATTGTATTTGCCAAATCTATAAGAACTTTTTTTTTTTTTTTTGAGGGAGAGAGAGACAGCACACACACAAGTGAGCAGGGGAGAGGGGCAGAGAGAGAGAATCTTAACCAGACTCAAAGTTCAGCGCAGAGCCTGACACAGGGCTCAATCCCTGTGATCCTTGGGATCATGACCTGAGCCAAAATCAAGAGCCCAACACTCAACTGACTAAGCCATCCAGGCAACCCTATAAGGCCTTTTATTATAACCCAATAATTTATTCTCTAGAGTCACTTTTTATAATAAAAGCTCCAATTAAAAAAGTTCTGTCTTACACAGTTAAAAATGTTAACCAACAATTATCTATTGTATTCTGTTCAATATACTTATTAGTTTTTTGTTGCTGTAAATTCAGCTTCTGAAAAGCAGAGATGAATACAGTTGAATATAGTAGATACTAATCAATGTCAGTAGAATTTAATATATGATTTTGTGCTTTTATGCTTACCTTTCCTGGGCCTGGAATGCCTTTTACACTTTTATCTACCTGAAAAAATTCAGACTCATCTTTCAAAACACCCAGATCGTATCTTTCTTCCTCCAGGAAGCCCTTCCTGATTCAGTCAAACCATTAAGCCTTCTCTTCTTTGGCACTGCTGCTGTGTTCATGCCTGTAGTTTGCACTTCTCCTACTGTACTGCCATTTCTTTTTCTTTTCTTCTTTTGTTTTTAAAATAAGCCCATTTGCACTACTTGATTGTGAACAACTTGCACCAGGTGCTGACTTATGCCTCTCTGCTCTTTTACTCTCAGGGTGTGGCAAAATAGCTAGAAACAATAGGCATTCAATAAGAGTTTACTAAATGGAAGAACGAATGTCCACATTGAAGTGAACTGGGGGCATTTCAAAACCACGATTTCTGAGGACTAAATTGTGTCTCCTTCAAAAATTCATATACCCCACATGATGGTATCTGGAGATGGGGACTTTGGGAGATAATTAGGTTTAGAGGAGGTCCTGAGGGCAGGGCTTTCTTGATGGGATTAGTGTCCTTATAAAGAGCTAAGTAATTGTTGATATCAGTATGTAAATGTTTGTGAAAATCATCTCCCAAATATACAAGTTACTTTAAAATAAAGCTAAATAGTTTTTCTTTATTTGACTATATATGTTAAAGTTTATATAATAATTTTCAAAACCTTACTGAATATGGAATTTTTATTTGTTAAGATGCACATTTGGATTTTGAAATCCACTGAAATAAATATAAAAATTTTTAAGTTTTTTAAACTTTTATCTGTCTCATGCATAAGCTAGGTGTTTTCTAGAAGAGAGATACGAGTGCCATTCAGAATTTCCTAATACTGCGTCTGTGACTTGTTGAAATCAAATAAACATCTTGATCAGTTGAAAAAAAAAAAAAAAAGAGAGAGATACCAGAGAGCTTGCTGTCTCTCTCCCTCTCTGTCCTGTGAGGACACAGCAGGAAAGCAGCTTTCTGCAACCAGGAAGAGATCTCTCGCCAAAACCTGACCATACTGACAGCCTCTAGAACTATGAGAAAATAACCTTCTGTTGTTTAAGAACCCCAGTCTACAGTATTTTGTTCTGGCACCCCAAGCTAATACAACTATGAACTGGGATTAAGTTATTTGATGAGAACATTAATATAAATGTTATATTAATACTTACGCTTACTTATGCTTTTTTATTTTAATCCTTTAAAAAATACATTTTTTTCCCAAAGGAAAGGCTATATCAAATGCAATTAGACAAGATATTTCATAATTCCTCCCAAATAAATTAGAGGCATAATTTTTGGTATTTTCCTGGTTGACTAAGAACCCAGACATCAGCACATGAAGTTGAAAATGATGTGATCTTTCAGAACAAATGATGTGATCTTCTTTGTAACAATTAATCAATAGGAAAGAATAAGTTATCTCGGGGACCTTGTTATCAAAGATAGTTATTTATCAGGACTCCTTTTTTCTCCCTCAACAGGTTACATTCATTAAAGACCCAGTACAGTCTTTGTACTGTGCTATAGACACTGTCTTAAGTTAATTTTATTTTGTCTTAAGACAAATTTAAGCTTGTTTCATTCCAGCATTCTCTTTGGACTCTGGATAATAAACTCCCCAACCCTTATCTGGAGAATCTATTCTATAATCAAGGCATAAAAATGGAATTGTTTGAAATAGCAGTATCCACGCTTTGTCTTGTAGATAAGTGATATTTTTAAAACTTGGGGAACCAATACTAAGTTATCAACATTTTATTTGGCCAAATAACATTCAAAACAAATGAATGCCACTGTCAGCAATTAACATCAGTTCACAAGTGACAAAGCATCTTCACACAAATTAATTAAAGAATATAATCTTAGTAGAGAATAAAAGGTGGTTTTCAAAGTGACTATATTCCTGTAGTGGGGAAACATCTACTATATTCCTTATTCTCATTTCAGCCTATGTTGGTGAAACTTCGTTAAGGGCAAATTTCTCTCGGATAGATAAAAAGTTTCTGCCATTTACCATTTTTCCTCCTGAGTGCTGGACTTCATTCCTATTTCTCGCTATTCAAAACCCTTCCTTATTCTAATTCTTAGGATTGGCCATTAACATAAAAAGTAACTTCAGTTTAACCACATCAGCATGCAGGGTCCAGATGAAAAATGCCTGTCTACTTAGATGTAATTATTTTCTCTCATTTTGTCAAATACTAAAGATAAATAATGCTTCCAATGCCATGATTACTTTATACTTCAGTATTTACAATATATTATATAAATATCTACTGAAGGCTGTAAATTAAAAACTAACCAAGATAGCAATAAAACTTACATGTATGGACTCAGTGAGACTACCCTTGCCATTACAATTCCAAGAATCAGAGTTGTCAAAACTGTAGAAAGAAGAGAGATCTGCAAAAGAAAATGTAAAGATGTTGTCAGTTTGGAAGAAAAATCGTTGTATTGAAAATATTAGGTGTTTCTCTTTTTACTTGCATAAACACATATACAGTTTTTGTTTACACAATCTATAGTAGTTTATTCTTATAGACTGGTGTTGATAATCTCAGGCATGTAACTTTTTATCAGATCACAGTACTCCTTTTTTTCTCAAAATAGGGGACAAGTACCATATATGAGTGCTCTAATCTTGCAACAGGGCTTTAAATGTTTTTAGTGGCTTACTGTATAGAATACAAAACTGGTGATTTTCATTCATGAAAGTGAAAGGGAAGTTGTTTTCTTTTTTCTTCAGGTCCTATTTTGGTGTTGGCTTGTGCTTTTTTTCTACCTATAATTACTTCCACTGCTTCTGTCTTTACCTTCTCCTCTCCCTTTCAACATAAGACCCTCCCCACACATACTCACTTTCACACATTTTGGGTGTCCTCTCCCTTTTCCCTTCTATTCTCTAGCTCTGTTTGTCTATTTTTCCTATTTGGCTTTGCCCTTTGGTCTGTTTCTACAGTCTTTGCTTTTTCCCCTCTCTTCTGTCACTATTTCAATGGTTAAAATATAAACCGGTCTGTGTGTATATGTGTTCTGTGCACTCAATATTAGATCTGTGTTTCTGCCCTTAATTTTTTAATGGATACACCCATTTTAGACTTCTTTCTCTAATAAGAGAAACATAATATGAAACTGCTTTTATTTCATTTGATTGTCATTAACCTTGTTTCCTGGGTTGTTAGTTTTTAACTAGAAAGAAGTGTATTATGAGTCCTCTGATCTACTGAGGAACAGGGATTTTAAATGACATTCCCCAGGTCATACAGCTAGAAGATGGCAGAGGGAGAATTCAAATGCAAGCATCCTGACTCCAGATCAGGACTCCTAACTACTGTGCTTTGCTCACTGGGAGTTTTATTTAGATATTTCAATATGAATCTTTTAAAGGGAATTTAGGGAAAATGTCCAGGTATTAATAACATGATAGAATGTTAGCTTTCTTTTCATGAATGCCCAGCCTTCTGCTCTCAGAAAATAACATTTACATCTATAACATGTGAAATGGAAAATTGTTCAGCCATTTAAAATTTTTCACAAAAAAGCTCTTGTTTATTTCTGGAAGTCTGTTAGGGAATGAAGGTAGAGTGGTCAGGATACTTTGGAATATCATCTCCACTCTCAGCTCCATCCGGAAGGACTGTGGGTAACAGGACCCATAACATGATCCTTATGGAAGGATCCATAACTACAGATAGACATGAAACATCACACTAAGAAGTAAAATTCACTCAAGTGTTGAACTCTTCAAATTAGAACATAAAAAATATATAAATAACTCTCTTTAAAAATGATTCATCAGAATGCTTGGAAAAATATAGCTATAACACCAATAATATTTTACATAAAATACAAACACTCCTTGAGAGTAATGAAATGAAAATATAAGTAGATAAAGGCTAACCCATGCAGATGAGCATATATGGTGAGAGGAATAATTACTTGTTTGGTTTCACTGGAAATAAATCATAATTTCTCTTTAGCAATAAGAATCATACACAACGGCCAAATTCTCATGAATCAATCAACATACTGACATTTAAATTCACTGGATGAAACACATCGTAGTTTACTAAAAAATTTTTAGCCAATGAAGTGAGTTATCCTTACTTCTTAAACTTAGTCTAACTTTAAATTGTTTGAACTACTATCTGTAAAAATGACAGAACATTTTTTCAGTAAATTAGACTTGTGCAAGTATAATTCTTTTTATTTTCTAAATTGAAAGTATGCTGTCTGCTTTCAGAGTATCTACCTTAAAAAAAGGAAAGTAAAGAACATATTTATTTCATAATCATTAACTATTTAACCATCAATTCCCACAAATAAGATTAATATTCAAGCACAGTTTACCCTAGTATAATTATAAGTAAACTAAAAGAAACTAAGATAAATATAATTAAGAACTTGGCCATATAGAAGATAGTTTCACACAATTAGTACAGGTAACAAATTATACTTCAGTACCTTTTTATTTTTTATTTTTAAAATATAATTTATTGTCAAATTGGCTAACATACAGTGAGTAAAGTGTGCTCTTGGTTTCTCGTTTCTGCTCTTGGTTTCAGTCTGCACCTTTTAAAATGTAAAAGTTACCTTTCCAAGCTTGGCTATATCACGATACAAGGACAAAGGCAGAGTAAAGGCAGCCGTGGAAAGCACAATAATGAAGTGGCGACCAATAAACAAGTTTGCAGGGTCAACTAAAACACAACAAATATTATAAATTCTTTATGGGTAAGAGTAACACACCAGGGATACAAGTAATTAGCCAAATACTTAATTGCAAAAATAACTCAACATTAAATGTTACCTAAATGACAAAGATTTTGAGTAAATAAATCCCATAAAATCATGTAAAAATAGAAATTATTCACAAAAATATAAATACAAAATAACTTAAGGATGAACCTATAGTTCAAATAATCTTTAAAA